AATAGCGTTAATTAAATTCATTATTCGTAAAACCTATCAATCGTTAATCTCATTATTCGTTAAATTTATTATTCGTAAGACATTATTCGTTCCTCTTATTATTCGTTAAACTTATTATTCTTTAATCTAATTATTAGTTAAACTTATCGTTTGTTAATCTTATCATTTATTAAACTCATTATTCATAATATTTTGTAAAATCTTGTTTATTCGCGTAAATATATTCTCTGTTTCGTAAAACAATGGCTAATTCAAACGAAGAATCGTTACGCGCCTTAAATCCTAATGATAACCCGACATATATTTAGTATGCTGGTAAGTTAGTAAATGGATAGTTTAACTGTTGTTGTATATGTGTCCAAACAAAATACAAATAAAATAGAAATTCTTTCATATTCTTTAGCGCCTTTCGGAGTCGATGATATTTCTTTGGCAAAAAATCTTTCTACGAACAACAATACATAGTTCAATGCAAATAGCTCCACTGAGTTGAATGGAATCTGTCTGTTTAAAGAAATGAAAAGAAAACGCTTTTTTCAATATCTTATAACAGCTTTTCTGTTAAAATTTTCGTTTCCATAAAAAAACATATTCTCTATTTCGATCAGAGTTTAGACAATCCACTTAACCGCGAGAGAGGGAACGTCTAGTGGAATTACAGTCTCGTACTTCTGGAACAAAGGCTCACTTGTCACTAAAAGCTTGACAGATAGTGGAAGGTCGGAAAATCTGTGCAGAAGAAGGATAAAAGGAAGATAATTACATCAAGACGTCGTCAGCTTCTGCCATCTCTCTTACACCCATCTTTATCCACCGGTCTGGGAACGTTTCCCTCTTTCTTGACACTTTTTCTGACAAAAATAGTGTAGTTCATTTCGAAAATTATATCGTGTCCTTGGGCATTATAAACAAACTTAAACTGAAGGACATATAGAATGCCATAACATAAAATTACTTTCTTCAGATGTATAAGGGGATTTACAGAACATTTCTCTTTAAGAATTTATACTAAGATAATAAGCAATGCTTGTAATGCAATATTGTGCTACATATATACGTGCATTAATAAGTGAACTGAAAGCTGTAAATTGTCTTTACTAAAAGCAGCAACTTTCTTAAAGAGAATAATTAACTAGAACGTTTTATACTGCTGTGAATGTAATTATAGTAAAACTACTATTTACAATTATACTTGTCGGGTTTACATTAGAATTAGGGTTAGGGGCGTGAAACGAAACTTCGTTTGGATTACACATTGTCGTTATGCAATAGAGAAGACATTGACTAATGCAAATACGATTATCATTGAATTGGACAAGTAACCGTGGTAATTAGATACTCGAGAAACTAATGACAATGATCCTAGGTTCAATAACGAATCCGTGGTCGACGGGATGAGAGATGAACGTGCTCACAAAATCTAAATCGAACGCGTAATATTCACTGATCGTAAGGTGTTACTCTATTCGTCGATGGGACCGCAAGAAAGAATGACTTTCGCTACAGTCTTGATTATAGTTTTACGTGGAAACCTTACGTTATTTAGCATTGGTAGCTGTGCATAATATTTGCTCCATTCTGTATATACGTCAGCCGGAAGAGATTCGTCCCAATCAATTTTTAATGTCCAAAGTCGTTGGAGCAGCATCTTAGCTCGAACGATCACTGGTGCCAGTAATCCAAGAGGGTCGTAGATCTTGACGATTTCAGAGCTGATTGTTCTTTTCGTAATTCGAGAGGCGGTAGGATTGATTTTGACGGAATATAGGATCGAATCGTCAAAGGAATTCCAAACAACACCCAGAGTTTTGATGGTTTGCGATTCGCCTAGTAGCAGCTTATCGTTTATGTCCTGCTCGGAAAGTCCTCGTAGCAGTTCCCGGTCGTTCGATGCCCATTTTCGAATGTTTAAGCTGGTTAGTGTAAGCAATTCTGTGAGCTCCGTTCTCAATGATCGTGCCTCGACCTTTGTATCAACTCCTGTGAGAACATCGTCGATGTAGAAGTCTCGCTGTAAGACCATCGCCGCTCGTGGGTATCGATGTCCCTCGTCGTCCGCCAGTTGTTTGAGGCACCGAATGGCTAGATAAGGGGCCGCTGACAGCCCATATGTCACTGTGTTAAGTTGATAGGTGTCAACTTCTCCATCAGAGTTGCGCCACACAATTTGTTGGAATTTCCGATCATCTGGACGCACAAGAAATTGTCGATATATCTTTTCGACATCGCCTGTAATGACGTATTGATGAGAACGAAATCTTAGAAGAATGAAAAATAAGTCATCTTGTAGTTTCGGTCCCGTATGAAGTACGTAGTTTAATGAAACTCCGCTGGTGGTTGGTGCAGATCCGTCAAACACAACTCGGAGTTTTGTAGTTTGGCTGGACTCTTTGATCACGCTGTGATGTGGCAGAAAATATCCGTCGTCCGTGCAGTGGTCCGTGGTAATTTTCGTCATGTGTCCTAATTCCAAGTATTCTTGTATTACGGCGTGATAGACGGCTTCGAATCGTTTGTCTCGTTGGAATCGACGGCAGAGGGATGTGAGTCGCTTCATCGCCATGGCTTTAGAGGATCCAAGCGAAGGAGTTGTTTCGTTGAATGGGAGAACGACAATATATCGCCCTTCGTTGGTGCGTTGAGCGTGATTTCGGAAGTGTTCCTCGCACTGTCGTTCCGCTTCCGAAATGTGTGCAGTGGGCGGTTCTTCGTCGATTTCCCAAAAACGGGCGAGGTCCGTCTATAAAGCCGTCGTTGAGGCGTGAAATGCGTGTGCTGATGATTGCGAGGTTTGGCTCCCCCCGATGACCTATCCGAATCGCGTTTTTTGCAGACGCAAGTCGGGTCCGTTTGCTTGACTGATATCAAGTTGGCCGACACAGAGTGATGCTAGTGTTGGTCCGGCGCTCAACAATATTTCGATCGGAGTAGGCCTATGGAATCTTGGATTGGCTAGTTGGAGATTCCTAGGTATCTGTATCGTTGAGCGATCTACGGGTTGATCTGGGACCCAAGACGATATTGTCAGTATGATTAGGAACGTCAAGATGCGTTCGTATGTGCCGTCGATGGAGGTGATCGTGGTCGTGATGTAGCGTTTCGAGGTCGTCGATAACGTGTTGAGTGTTCCGATTGGGACCGAACATTTCCGTTGGTTGAGTTTTAGTGAATCAGCGAGTTTTTCGGTGATAAAGTTCATGCTAGAGCCGGTGTCTAGCAGAGCTCTACAACGGAATGGTTGAATTTTATTGTTCAAGATGTGGACCTGCGCTGTGACTAACAAATCGTGCTGCAATGGTTCAGAAGAAAGCGAGGTCAATGAGTCCGTTTTCTGTGGTTCGGTCCCTAGCAAAGTCGTCTGATGACTTCATTGTTTTCCTTGTCGTTTAGAACTGGACGATATATTTGATCCTGCCGTCGTTTGCGATAACCGAGATTCGCGTTTCGGAGATGTTCGCGGATACGTTCGGGAAGACGTTCGCGGATACGTTCGGGAAGACGTTCGGGAAGACGTTCGGGAAGACGTTCGGGAAGACGTTCGGGAAGACGTTCGGGGAGACGTTCGGGAAGACGTTCGGGGAGACGTTCGGGGAGACGTTCGTGGAGGCGTTCGTGGAGGCGTTCGTGGAGACGTTCGTGGAGACGTTCGTGGAGACGTTC